ACTGAGGGTAAGGCTGGAGGTCAACTTTAACGAAATCCATGGGCCATTCTCTCCTCCAGCATTTACAGAAAACGAAAACATCTTTTTGAGTGGAAAGACTTTTAAATGAACACCCACCGGCAGGGGCGTATTTACCACGAGGCAAACAAGGCGTACCAAAGGTACCAATCGTTAGTGGGGAGAGCAGTCCTTAAAGCGAAACTTCCCCTTTTGGGAGGAGCTCCGCTTTAAGTCAGCTTCATTCAATTTCTGACATCTTAGATCAGAAGGGCTGCTAGCATATGCTCCAATAGAAAAAAACTAAGATTTCAATGCCTATGTGGCAAACTTGAAACTGAAAATGATTTTCTCTCCAATGCTTATAGATACAGAGATAGATAAGGACTTGGTCAGACTGTGTAATAATACTTTAATGGCCATGATCTTGGCTAAGGTTTGCTTTAACCACCTCATGATCAGCCATTGCTGGTGAGTATACCTGTTGTTCTGAGAGGACGTTTATAAACGTATTGATTGGTAATGCGAATATGCGCACCATAAGCATTCCCAATGGTAGCTTGGTGCCATATCGATTAGAATTAGGCTGGAACTCGACCTAGAATTTGTATTTTAATCCCAGGTTTGCATGAGTTTCTGCTAGTGCTTCAATTTTTATTCCACTATTCAAAAAAGATCAAGGAAAAGAAGATGCAAATAGTTCAGTGTTCACTGTAAAGCACTGCAGAATATGTTGATTCTGTAAAAATTAAAGATGTACATCTGTCAACCATACCATGCTTTTGCTCTCTGCCCCATGTTATTAATGTCATGTCAGGGCAGGTGTTTAGCAAAAGCTCAACAGCCATAGGGAACTTAATAGAGGATAAACGTTGACTGCATCCATCAATAATAGTGACATTTGTTCATATGATCTTCATATACACCTCTGGGAATATAACATTACACCATTACTGGCAGTTGGGTCTGGTTTACATTTTTGTGATATATGAAGAGTGCCACATAATTTGTTGTGTTTACTGCTGACGTTTCTTCCAATCCTGATGTGACTGTACTATGTTTTCATTAACGCTGAACTCCACACATACAGCTAAATACACAAGTAAAAAGAGCTGTTATATCTGCCAAAGGATTTGTATTTCTGTTCATCCAGTCCTAAAATGTTCACGGCTCTGCTACACAACACAGCCTTGCCTGGCAGGAAAAGGGAACTGAACTTTCTTTGTTCTGGTTCAGCCTTATTACCTTAGTTGGGTTGTGTTTGGCAACACTAGCGCCCGCCAAATGTGACAGGGGATTTTATTTTTGCCATGGGTGCAAAGCAGAACATCACAGCCATGCAGGGCCAGGACAAGGGGTGGGTAAGAGGGATGGCTGCCCTGGGCGCAGTGGTATCATGGGAGGTGGAGGGGGAGCACTGCATGGAAAGCTCCTACCTACAAGCTGACATAAGTACGCTCCTTGAGAGTTAGGGATTGATGTGAATGTACAGTATATATATGTAAAGCGCTGCGTAAATTGACAGTGCTATATAAGTACCTGAAATAAATAAATAATCAGTAGTGACAGCAGCTTCGCTACTCCTGTCAGCTTAGCTCTGGAGAATACAAGTCAGATCTGGAGAGGAGGAGAGCTGGGCGGAGGGACAGGTTGTGCTCACTCTCCCCTCATGCTCTCTCTCCCCTCATGCTCCTCCTCCTGGTGCTGCAGCTCTCCTGGATCTGGACTGCCGAGTCGCCACTGTGCAGTGTTTGTTTACCCTCTCCCATCTCCTCCCAGCAAGCGGGCAGGGACAGGTAAACAAACACCTCCAGTGGCATCTCTAGTGTGGGGCCCCAACACTGCATTCCTATAGCCCTCTTTAGCCCCCCCTATAGTGCTTGAATTTGATTGGGGGGAGGGAGGGGATTTTTTCTGACACATAATGCTCATACATTTTATAGGTGCGCTGTTTGGCATCTTCACTATGGGCGCTAGATGACCTTGTACTGGCACTTTGGCCATGGCATGTGTACAGCCCTGAGTAGCTGCATGATTTTTTTTAGGTGGGTGGTCACAAGGTGGTAAAACCATGGCTTAACCACCTGCTGTTATTTTTCATTTTAGGACAGGATATAGAGTGGTAAAAGATTAGCGGATTCTTGCAGCTGGATTGACAAGTGCATGCGAATAGTGGCGACCACTCAGCCTGTACGAAGTATTGAAAGGCTGATAGTGGCCATTGTTATTTGCATGTAGCCGCACACCAAGAGGTTACCTGCGGTTAGGGATGGGTGTCCAAGCCTGGACACAGTCAGACAGCCATGTGAAGGAGGCCCAATCCCTACAACTGTAATTGACAGCTGCGGGCAGATAGGACAGCACAGTGGCTAAATGATTAGCACTTCCACCTGGCAGTACTAGGGTCAGTGGTTTGAATTCCACCACCTGCCTACAGTTTGCATGTTCTCCCTGTACCTGCGTGGGTTTCCTCCTGGGTACTCCGGTTTCCTCCCACACTCCAAAGACATACTGGTAGGTTAATTGGCTCATGTCTAAATTGGTCCTAGTATGTGTATGAATGTGAGTTAGGGACCTTAGATTGTACGCCCCTTGAGGGTTAGGGACTGATGTGAATGTACAATATATATGTAAAATGCTGCGTAAATTGACAGCCATATATAAGTACCTGAAATAAATAGATAGCTGCAGGTTCCATGCAAAGTACACTGCAATGACAGGCTGTCGGCAGGCTCAGTGGCCACAGCTATCCACGCCCAGCTGTCAATCCCACAGTAGATTCCTGCCAATGGAATTCGCAGAGTGGCAAAATTCCCATGCAAACGGTGACTTATGACCCTCTCCAGTGCATCAAATGCTATTTTTTTAAAACTAGTATTTAATTACTATTGACAACAGATGCACATTTATTTCACCTGTTTTCACAAACAAGCCCCAGTGTCTATCATTACCACTAAGTGATATAAATTGTGAAACTGAAAAGAAAAATCAGACCACACCTCCCAGGACGATATCTTAAGCTATCCATTTAAACATAATCAAAGCCAGAACATCCACAGAAAAAGGAGATCATCAAAGTGAACCACAGGGAATTGTTTAATAGAAAACATAACGTATGCTAATGCCCGGGACTCCATCCATAACAATATGTGTGCAAGGAAGACATCTTGATTTTTTAACGATAATCAAAACACTACATGTGATTCCACTAGCATCCTTTATGGATTTAGGAGGATTTCAGTTGTCTTTTATGTTTGAGAGTAATATAGTAGGAGAAGCAATTATGTGAAATTTACATCCACAGTTTACAGTATAGAATAATGTAAATCTCCCAACTTTGTGAGATCGGAAAAGGGCACTTTTTACTGTTGTGACCAGGGGCGGACTGACAACTCATGGGGCCCCTGGGCAATAGGGGATCATGGGGCCCCTGTGTCCTTTCCCAAACTCAAAAAAGCCTATGAAAAAGGTACCAGGGGCATCTCATGGGGCCCCCTACTGACCCCGGGCCCTCAGGTAGTGCCTGAGTTTCCAAATGGTCAGTCCGCCCCTGGTTGTGACTTAATCTTGTTAAAGCATGTTACGTTAAAGAATAATTGTGGGCATCAGTAATATATCAGTGGTGGCGAACCTATGGCACGCAAACCCCTCTCTTTCGGCACACTAGCTGAGTTTCCCCAGCATAACGGCACACATAGGAGCCAATGCACATGCTCGGAAAGGAGTAGGGCCTCTTTTAGGACCGCGCATGACTGCAGGGAGGGGCGATTGGTTACCCGGCTAGAGAACTGTGGGGAGCAGAGAGGACGGAGCTTGGACCAGAGGGACCATCATCCATCTGATCTGGGGAGGAGGGTCTGGTGCAGGGGCGGACTGACAACTCATGGGGCCCCCGGGCAACAGGGGATCATGGGGCCCCTGTGTCCTTGCCCAAACTCAAAAAAGCCTATGAAAAAGGTACCAGGGGCATCTCATGGGGCCCCCTACTGACCCCAGGCCCTCGGGCAGTGCCCGAGTTTCCAAATGGTGATCGGTGACAGTACAATGGGAGGCTCCAGTGTCGGTGACACCGGGATGTAACATTCACCTCTGCTGCATCCTCCTCATCTGGTAAGTCCTTCTCACCCACAGCCTCCTCCATCTGTCCGGTCACTCCGCCGGGGCCCTGGGCCACCTTCCATCACCAGTCCTGACAAAGTGCTGGGATCGTGGTGTCCTCGTACATGGCCAGAGCCGGGAAGTTGAATATTCAACTCTCCGTCTGATCGGTGACAGACACATCCTGGGGATCACTGCGGTCAGACATGAGGCCCCTGGCGCCACATGACAGCCCTGATGAAATCCAACCATCCCCTGCACTTTGCTGAGACATTTTGTGAGCCCACACCGGTAATGTCATCAGTGCCTCTCCAACCTGCAAAGTGAGCAATTCTTAATGGCACCCATTCATTAGCAAATGCAGTGTATTTTTGCACATGCCAAATCACACAGAGCTGCAGCAGTATGTAACTTGGTGCGGCACAGGTTTAAATAACAGTCAAGGCCTTCTATCACTGCATTTGTAGGGGAAGGGTAGCCCACTGAAATGAATAGTCTGCCTAGACACAGGATGCAAATGTGTGAAACTGGCCCTATTGGCAACACACATTGGCCAGCTTGGCATTCAGGTTTAGAAGCAGTGTTGGCACTTTTCAATAAATAAGTGGGTTTTGGGTTCTAGCCAATGCCCTTGAAGCTGGAAATCACTGAAATCTTCATTTCCAGGTACTGTGCTAAGCAGCTGGCTCGATGCATTCTGAACACAGAAGGTTGGCTGCTCGGCTTGGATGCCATTCAGAGTATGCTTTGCATTTTCTGAATGAACGCAAAGTGTTCTCTGATTGGATGAGGTGGAGAGGCAGGGCAGTGACATTATACTCTTCTCCACATCCAATCAGAGAATGCTTTGTATTCATTCAGAAAACTCAAAGAATTCTCTGAATGGTGACTGTATTGAGCAGCTGATCTCCAGTAATCACAGCTGATCTCCTGTAATCACAATGAAAGTAGTAGCTCTACATAACCCTCACTCAAGTAGAGTGAACTTTTGTTGCGATGAAAACATAGATGACCTATGCCAAGTACAAGAATTTTAATAAACTTTGTATCAGATCCAGGGGCGGACTGACCATTTGGAAACTTGGGCACTGCCCGAGGGCCCAGGGTGAGTAGGGGGCCCCATGAGATGCCCCTGGTACCTTTTTCATAGGCTTTTTTGAGTTTGGGCAAGGACACAGGGGCCCTATGATCCCCTATTGCCCGGGGCCCCATGAGTTGTCAGTCCGCCCCTGATCAGATCCCTACTCTCTGAAGAAATAGCTGTTTCACCATATCCTTTGGAGACTGACTCTGGTTCATTATAATCAGCTGGTGCACACTCAGTGTTCTGGTGAGAAAAGTTGCAGAGTCTGCATCCCTTTAGGTATTTGAGGTAATATTTCACTAAAACCAAATTTGCTGTTGCAGATGGTGCCTAACCTTTGACTTATATCTTTGTGCAGACTTCTAGGAAAACCAGTGAGCCAGTCGCACAAGCAGGACAAGCAGGGGGGAGGGTGTTCTGTACAACAGTGGTGTACAAAATGCTTCTAGGCTGCCATAATGCATTGATTTGTACAGAAAATTACAATAGAAATCTGGCGAATGCTTACCCTTTTCTATTGTATCCAAAGGAAAAAAACCCTTTTTGCCTTTAAATACACTTTGTTAGTCTTGCCAGTGATTACCGCAGGTAATCACTGGCCGTGTGGACAGTCACAAATAGCAGGTACTGACAGCCATTGCAGTGTATGGACTTGACAGCCATAGCTGTACGCTGTCATTCCAGCCACAGGAGTTAATAGATGCTTGCTGCTGGGATTCGCAGCATGACAAAACATTCACATAAATTAAGCTTTAGAGAAGCCTTTCTTAACCTTTTCAACACAGAGGAACCCTTGAAATATCATTCTGGTCTCAGGAAACCTCTGCTAAAAATGACTATATCTTCAACTAATGATACATTAGTGCGATGGTCAGTGGGAAGAATGCTCCTTACATTTGTTATTGGGAAGAATTCCCCAGTTACAGATAGCTAAAAAGATCTATGATGTCAGTGGCAACTTGTCTGAGAGGCAGAAATTGCCCCCTACTCAAGGAACCCCTTGGAACCTCTGGAGGAACGCTGGCTGAGAAACCCTGCCTTAGAGAACGGTGGCTCCAATAAGGTGCTGGATTGAAGGTTAGACTGGGGGACGATATGTAGAAGGAGATAGAGAAGAGGGGCGGGGGATGGGTATTGGCACGATAGCTCTTTTCCTACAGGACTCAGCTTAGTAACTGGAGTTGGGGTATCTTATCTATGCTGTGGACTCATTTACGCCTCTCAAATTGGAAGCTGTGTCACAGATCTGGTCTTACCCTAGGTTCACACCTAAGCGTCTTCTGCAGCGTTTTGTGTTTTGCAGAAACGCAGTACAGTCCATTTAACATGATTTCCTATGGGACATGTTCACATCTTAGCATTTTCACCCAGTGCGTTTTTTGGAAAGGGTCAGAGACTTTTCTGATCGCAAAAAGTTGTATTCTTGGTTCTATAGAGGAAACACTGCTGAAAAGCATGTATTGCGTTTTTTATGTTTTTGCCATGTTTTTTATGCATTTTTGATGCATTTTGCGTTTTAAATCTACCTAGCAACAAGAAAAATTAGCAAAACGCTGCAAAAACACAATGCAAAACACAATGTAGAAACGGCTCAAACGCAACCTGCATAGGTGTGAACCTAGCCTCAATCTGGGCTATATGAGGTCAATATATTCCAGTAAGCAGTTGAGTGCAAAAAACAGTCCATGGAACTTTTCCTCCCAATGATAAAGTGAGGCTGTTAGGCCTGCCATCTGTCTAACCATAACCTAATGTTTTACAGCTGCCATATACAAATGTAGGCTGTATAATAAATACGATAGGTGGGGCTCAATCACACTTTACCCAAGTTTACTAGAAAAAACAAGGGCAGTGTCCAACTTCCAATGTGTACCTATATCAGATTACCTCCTTCTTCCTGTCTCTGGTATAGGAAGTTAAAGGAAACCTGTTCCCCCGTGGAACACAGAAAGCTAAAAAAAAAAAAAAAAAAAGCTAAAAAAAAAAGCAATTCTCTATTCCATCCAAAACTAGAAAAAACATTGTCTTTAGATATGCTTTACACATAGATAAACTACAGTGGAAAGGTTGTGGCATCACATTGTGTCCTGTTTGGTCTGGTTGGTTGTCTGGGAAGGAAGGGGTGCCATGTGGATATTTGCGTTCCTTTAATATTTCACATTCCTTCTTCTTTGGCTCTCATTAGGAATTATATAATAAGCATTTAATTACTCTTCCTCTGCTTACTTCCCAGCTATCAGATGCCTACAGAGGTTGCCTCTAATTGAGTTAGGGCTTGTGTGATTAATTAGCTGGAGAGCTGTCAAGGTTGCTCATTGTCTGAGTGTGGGAGACTTGTACGGACTGGGGGTCCCAGCTGAGGAAAGTCATGTCAACACTCCAGCTGGAGCAATCATAGCGAGCACTCTGGCATGGCAACTAACGTATATTACGGCTATTTTACAAAAACTGGCAAAAAAAAAAAGGGTGCACATTGCCCCTAGCAACCAGCTGTCTTCTGTCTAACAAACACTGAAAATATTGGCAATGAAGATAAAACTCTGTCCTGTGGTGGTCATACATGCTTTGATAAATGATTGATTTTTTTTTTTCCCTGATTAATCTCTTCTAATATGAATAATCACCTAGATTGTAAGCTCCCAGGAGCAGGGCCCTCCTATCCCTCTTGTATTGAACTGTATTGTTGCTGTATTGTCTCCCTGTATATTGCAAAGCGCTGAGCAAACTGTGGCACTATATAAAGCCTGTAATAATAATCGATAAATAATAATAATCGATTTATAGTTGGAAACCCTATATGCATGTGTCCACCATTAGGACCACCATATGCATTAATCTTTGTAAAACAACTTTAGATTTACTAAGTCTTTGTAACATGAGCACCTTCCTAACCTATCCATTTGTTTCCAATCAGGCAAGCCCTTTACAGTTTTTGCGAGATCTCAGACTTGGTTCACATATATACAGGCGCATGTTGCCTGTAGGGCAGCCCATTCATTTAAAAGCTGCTCTACCCATGAGAAACACAGGGAAAGATGTTCTCTGCCCTTTTTAAAAAAAAAAAAACAATTAGATTGTAAAGTGTGTTGTGAGCTTTACATAGTTTTCCTAACAAACTTATTTTAAAGGATTACTATGGGGGGAGAAAAGACATAAAGGTAATGTGCTGCCCTATATCATAACTATCTAAAACGGAATAATTTGAAAACCACCCTGTGATGCCTGTGAAATTCTCTGAAATGAAAACACACAAGTGCTAAACTCCAGACTTTTGCCCCAAAGGATTGAACATAGATTTTGACATTAATTGTTTTATCAGTAACTGTTAGCATATTTTTCAGTTATAGTCTCGGGCAGGGGCAGACTGACAACTCATGGGGCCCCCGGGCAATAAGGGATCATGAGGCCCCTGTGTCCTTGCCCAAACTCAGAAAAGCCTATGAAAAAGGTACCAGGGGCATCTCATGGGGCCCCCTACTGACCCCGGGCCCTCGGGCAGTGCCCGAGTTTCCAAATGGTCAGTCCGCCCCTGTTCTTGGGGGATGTCTAGGGCCCCAGGAACCTAAGGGGGAGGTAAACAATTACACCAACATTCAACTTACATCTAGTCATTACTTTCTCTCCAAAACAGTATACAGGCGGTTTACGAATTTAATGCGTTCTGCGGGACGTTTTGTATTGCGAAATATTCGTAAACCAAAACATGGTTTCCCATAGGAGTGCATTGAATACCAATTAATCCGTTCCGGAGGTCAGAGGAAAGTACAAAAAAATGATTTTATCTGTTCAAAACTCTTTATAAAAAGTGCACTTTAAAGGCATAAATACTGTACAGGGACATGATTAAAAATTAATTTGTAAATGCACTGAAAACCAATTAATCCGTTCCGGAGGTCAGAAAAAGGTAAAAAAAAGTATTATCTGTTCAAAACCATAAAGTGCACTTTAAAGGCATAAATACAGTACAGGGACATGATTAAAAAAAAAAAATCTGTAAATGGATTGAAAACCAATTAATCTGTTCCAGAGGTCAGAAAATAAGAAAAAAAAGTCTTATCTGTTTAAAACTCTTTAAAGTGCATTTTAAAGGCACGGGGCCGGCGCTATAAATGCTTCCTATTGAGAAAAAAATTTGTAAACCGGCCTTTATTCATCATCATTGACATGGACCTGCATTGCTGGACGACATGATTGACAATGTACATCTTGGGATATTTTTTAATAAAGAACTCATCAAAAACTGTTTTTTATTTTTAATTGACATTTTTTGTGACTGAGTAGAGGCACTCATTCACACAGAGGGTTAGACTGCATTCACAGTTCAGTGATTTGTAGCTTGAAGCTCGAAACTCCAAAAATGCTCATACTTAAAAAATACATAAATTTTTTTACATTTGAGCATTTTTGGAGCTTCATGCTACAAATTGCTCAAGTGTGAACACATTATTGTTAAAGGAGGGCTTCCAGATTCCAATAAGCAATCTGCCTGCACGCTCCCACAACCCTCAGGGACAAGGTGCTTTGCCAGGATGGGGGTCCCCCCATTTTGAGAGCATGTGGCCTGATATGGTTCAGGGAAGAGGGTGCACACTCGTCTCCTCCTTTCCTTGAATGCCAGGTAGCATGCTTGGATAAGGGGCTGGTATGAATTTTGGGGGAACCTCACGCCTTTTTTTTGGCATTAAGTGCCCAGACCTGAAGGGCCTGATGTGTAATGTGGGGGAATCCCCATGCAATTCTTTTTGTTTTTTAATTGTTCTGGCCCCTTTGTATTTCCATCTTTGCATTTTCATGGACATTTCTTCCCTCCACCTTATAAAAAGGGGGAAGGCTCTGCTCAGGGTCTCTTTCTGCTGTGGCCACGTGGGAAGATTAAGAGGCCCTACAAGAAGGATGAAAACCACAACAACCTGGATCAGAACTCCAACCTTATGGACTTATACCTGGGGAAGGTATGCATTGGGCAGCCTGAGATTAGTCAGTTAGGGTGGTACTGTTGTTATCCCTTGGACTGTAAAGTTGAAGTGTATTTAGTAAGGTGTATAACCATTCAAATGTTTTAATTACTACAAAGGGGTGCATGGTGGTAATTGGTGTTGTAAAGAACAGGGCCTGTTATGTG